AAGTCATTAAAGACATCGTTAAAATAGTCCAAGTGACTACAGTGGCTCAATCTTAACTTTATCAAACGACAAGAACACTTTTTGTGCGCAAAAACAAACAAAAATAACGACTTTATTTCAACTATTCACTTCCTTCTCCATGGGCCTGTAGTCAGTTAACGTAGTGTGATTGCGTAAAGCTACGTCACACGTAGGCTCACTATTGGCCGACGCTGGTCATGAGTGTGATGCTGTGTGACGTACAATAACAGAAGCTTACACTATTAAACTAGTAACCTGACTCGCACAGAGGGAGAAATAAACGAATAGTTGAAATAAAGTCGTTATTTTTGTTGTTTTTTTGCGCACAAAAGTGTTCTTGTCGTTTGATAAACTTACGATTGAGCCACTGTAGTCACTTGGACTATTTTAACGATGTCTTTAATGACTTTTCGGGGACAGCAAGAGTCAGTCCCTCAAGAAGCCTACGGACTGTATGCAGGAGTGATCTTAATATCTTAATTTGTGTTGCGAAGATGAACGAAGGTCTTACGGGGTTGGAACAACATGAGGGTGAGTAAATACTGACAGAATTTTCATTTTGGGTGAGCTAACCCTTTAAAACAGGACTTTAAGAGTAAAATACCGAACTAAACCTTTAACTTCACTTGGATGATGTGTCAGTATAAATACTTTAACCACTCCAGTACTTTAGTTTATACTGCACACAGAATAAGTATTAAAGGGATAGTTCACTTTGAAATTAATTTTTGGTATGTTTTAGCTTACCTCAAGGGCATCCAAGATGTAGGCATCTTTGTTTCCACAGTATTTTCAATTTTGACATTTTTCAGTCAAACCGTTTTTTATCAGTCATACACTGGAGGCTAAGGGGGTCCACCAAAGAGCATGCACAGAGAAGTCAAAATTAAACATGATTGAATGACTCGTAAATGCAAGTACACATTGATGGCCTAAGACACGAAACGAGCGGTTTGTGTGAGAAAACGAACAGTGTTTATATCGTTTTTACAGATATTGAAATGAGGTCAAAGAGTTAAACTTTATATACTACATCTCAACCGTTCAACCATAGTTTTGTTATTTAGAGACCAATATGAAAGCCACTTCAAACTGTAAATCTGTAAACTCCTCTACTAGGTCTTTGAGAGAAGATCAGGGTAGAAATGTTAGAGAAACATGTGATTTTCATTCTGACAGTTTACCCATTGCAAGTCTGTGTTGCATATGAATCAAGCATAATGGGTAAAGTATAGAGTAAACTCTATAGATCTGAATAAAGCTATGCTGTCATAAATGCATAACTTCCATTTAAATAATTTAAGTTATAGCACAATATAGTTACCTTCAGCATTTTGGATAAGGTCTTGGAGCTCACTAGTCTGTGTGAGGCCACGCAGCTTTGAAGGGATCCCTGTCAGTAGTTGGCCCACCTGAAAGTATTTAAGACAATATGAAAACAAAATATTTTGTTCCTTTTCTTTCAAAAGCACAACACATTTATTTTATACCAGAACTAGATGACAGGAAAAAACATAGAAAACATACAGTGGGATAATCCCAGAGTGAGAGTATCCCAGACTTTTAAATTTGCCCAACATGGATGATTAGGGATGGGCAACGATTAATCGCATCCAAAATAAAATGTTTATATAATATATGTGTGTGTAGTGTGTATAATTAATTTGTATATATAAATATACACACATGCATGGATATATTTAAGAAATTTTTGCATCTATATACTGTATATATATTTACACATAAGTAATATTATATATAAATATAAATATTTGATATATTAATAACACATTTTTCTTAAATATACACATACATGTGTGGGTATTTATATTTATAAATTAATTATACACACTACACACACATATATTATGTAAACAATTTTTTATTGCGATTAATCGCGATTTATTGTTGCCCATCCCTGAGAACAGCGATTATATTTTGAATAGATACTATGTTACTCTCGACCTTATTTACATTATGACTTATGGGCTATATGCACGCATAAATTCCGCATTTGACGCAAGGATGCTCGTCCATTTCCGGTTGTGTAGATTAAAGCGGAGGAAAACCGAGGAAAACGGGATTATGGCAGAGTCTTCAAAATTTACTGTCCTCCAGTCTTTGAAATGAAACGTACATACGTTTAGATGTAATTTTATATATAGTTATTTTTATTTAATATAATTTTAAAAAGAAGCATAAACACAACGAGGGGTGTCTGTTTTATCTGTTTTTGTGACTAACTGTCACGTAACGGTACAGATGAACCCAAACGCAAACAGGATGTAACAAATAATTTATTGACAAACAGGGAAAACAAAAACCCACGAGGGGGCAAAACATAAACAGGACACAAGGAAAATAAACTAGACTAATAACAACTAGACAATACTCTGAAACAGGATACTCACAGATAATACAAGCTCTCAAAAAACCACAGAGGTATAAGGATCACAATGAACCGACACGAGACAGCAAACACAAGGAGATTAAATAGGGAACAGTTGACACTAACTAGACAATCATGACAATGAGGAAACAAGGGGGTGGGGTTCAGTAACGAGACACACAAGCACATGGCCCAGAAGAAGGACCATGTGTTGTACACAAACATGGATCTGTCATGATCCTGTCTCAGAACTAGAGAACTCTGGACAGAATCATGACAGAACCCCTCCCTTAAAAAGCGGCTACCAGACGCTTCAAGAGTACACCAAACTTGAGACAGACTGAGACATAGACATGAACCAACACAACATAGCCAAAAATAACAAAGGCATACATGAAAACCGAATGACAGGATCAGGGTGAAAAATTAGGAACAATAAACAAGGAAGGGGAGGCGGAGGCACAAAGAGGTTCATGGGGGATTGTACAGGGTGGGTGGGTGGGACGTTGGTCTTGGGTTTACGGGATTTATACCTCCGATGAGGAACCCGGGTGGGTTTGGGTGGGGAACTGGTCGACACAGTCCGGGGTTGAACCTTAACAGGGGAGAACGGGGAAACACACATAGGCTGGGCGACAGAGGGGACTGCTGCAGCCGGCAATGGAATGAAGACAAGAGGTGTGACTGGTGGTAAGTAATCAGGAACAAGAGGCACTGCGGCAGTCGGTGAGACTGGAACAGGACCCAGAGTCTCATCTACAGATTCGAAATCCTCTGAAACAGATGATTCGGAACCCGCACACTCCATCATTGACTCAGAAACAGAGTTCTCTGTAGCAGCCATGGAAACCGCTCTCTCTGCAACCGACTTGAAACCCGCACTCTCCTCCGCTGTGGATGCAGGACTTGAGGATGAAACGGGTCTGACAGGAATCTCCAGAATCTTTACAAGACTTGACATGTAATTGGATAAAGTCTTGGCCACAACTGCAAACGGCATGTCCTGGGTTGCTGAAACCGCCCGGAGGAGTGCTTTTGCAGCTGTGTCAGCTGCCGCCCTCTCTGAAACTGACTCAGAGACATCGTTAGCAGCAACAGACTCAAAAACCATCTCCACTGCTTCAGGATCCGGAATAATTCTCTCTGCAGCAGCCTCAGGAATCACTCTCACCCGTGCTGATTGTGGATCGGTGGTCTCTGCAGCAGGTTCGAGAGTTCTCGTGGACTCAAGTGAAGACAGGGACGGAGAACAGAAAGTTCCTCTCCTTCTCTTTCTCCTCGGCCGCGGAGCAGAAGCCAAAACCGGACTTGAGACCGGTAGGAAAGATTTAGAGGGAACCACTGGAGGAACTCTAGTCTCTGTGGATGACTCTGAAGCCGACACCCACAACCGCCGTCTCTCTCGTTTACCTTGAAGACTTGTAGCTGTGGAGGATGCTTCTGAAGTCGCACTGGGACGAGTCTGGTTCACCAACGTGGCCACAGTGAGAACGTCACCCTCCGGGATCATGGGTATACCAGGTGTTGAGGGTCTGATGGATGTCTGTGACTCCTTCTGTGCCAAACAGGTAATCATCTCCTGGAATGGATGACGAACCAGTTTCTCCCGTTCAGCCAGAGAAGGTGGCTCATTTAGGCCCGCGATGAGGTAGCGTTTTAGTAGGGCATCAGGCAAGAAGACCCTCCTCTCGTCCACGACCCGGGCATACTCTCTCAGGGACCACTCACCCTGGGGAGGGAACGGAAGTTTGCCCCTCCTACTATCAGCGATCGTCTCCTGCCACCATTCTACCATAGAGTCCGATTGTTGATCAAGACACGGTGGAGTACTGTTTGCTGGGTTCTGGTATGGTCGGTTCATTCTGTCACGTAACGGTACAGATGAACCCAAACGCAAACAGGATGTAACAAATAATTTATTGACAAACAGGGAAAACAAAAACCCACGAGGGGGCAAAACATAAACAGGACACAAGGAAAATAAACTAGACTAATAACAACTAGACAATACTCTGAAACAGGATACTCACAGATAATACAAGCTCTCAAAAAACCACAGAGGTATAAGGATCACAATGAACCGACACGAGACAGCAAACACAAGGAGATTAAATAGGGAACAGTTGACACTAACTAGACAATCATGACAATGAGGAAACAAGGGGGTGGGGTTCAGTAACGAGACACACAAGCACATGGCCCAGAAGAAGGACCATGTGTTGTACACAAACATGGATCTGTCATGATCCTGTCTCAGAACTAGAGAACTCTGGACAGAATCATGACACTAACGTTTCTTTAGTATAACCATGGAGTATAAAATTCAATGTAAATTCTCGGTATTGCATTGGACTCTACGATCGGCGGAAGTTATCGAGCATCCCTAATGCTTCACCGGAAATACCACCGTGCATAGAGCCCATTGACTGACCAATCTGGAACAAAATAATACTTCAAAGACAGATGAGTAAAATAACCAAGTTGTATGGTCAATAAAAAAGTTACAAAAGTTTATTAATCATTCCGTTCAAGCTAATAAAAGCAGACTAAACATCAAATCTCGCACCTCTTTGTGGTTGCCGTTGGCGTTTCATCCGTCCCTGCTTCTTTCTGCAGGGTTTTTATTCTCCATGCCAGATATCCACTTCCATCTTCTGGATTGTAATAATGCTCCTATGACCAGAACAATACACAGACCTAGTAGTTATACATTACACAATTAAAGAAATAAATACCATATGAATAATAATGTAAATAATCTTTACTCTGCAATATACAGAGTATATCATCCTCCTGTAAATCAAAAATATTGAGAGGCAACAGCTACGTACATAACCAAGCTTGCTCCTGGGTGACCCATTCTGCCAAGTATGGGAATAGGGAGATGATTCCCTTTGCATATTCTTGAAATGTAAAAGGTGTTGGAGAAAAAATATTTTTCTTGGTGTCTTTGAACTTCACTCTCAGTCTCACAACGTTGTTGGTTTGCATTCTGGAGGGACCAAAAAGACGTTAAGGCGTTAACACTCACAGTCAGATGAAGCCCTGACAATATTTTATACATTATGCATTATTCACGTTAATTATGAACCTGCAAGCAGTAGTAGTTATTATTTATTAGTAATCCTATGGGAGGTATGAAAAGGTATGTTACTGATTAGCTAATAGTGAACTACCACATTCTGAGCGCTATTACTCACTATTTATTAATCAGAATTCGTTAGTTTATTTTCTACTAGAGCGTTAATAATGCATTAATCATTTGTTCATGTGTAAGTTATTCATCATTAAGGCTAACGTTAACTTAACTCTTTACAGAGTCAAGTACATGTGGCGCACAACTCGAGCCGCTCATCGTCACAGTAATGTTACGTTAATGTACGTATAACTTACTGGACACACATCAATATGCAGCTAGATAGTGTCAATTAAAGTTTATGTAAGCTATAACTCATAAATAGCCTCCATCATTCAAATTAAGGCTAACGTTAACTTAACTCTTAATAGAGTCACGTACATGTGGCGCACAACTCACACATCAATATGCAGCTAGCTAGTTTCACTAGTGTTAACGTTTACATAAGCTATAACTTATGTCATCTAACGTTGTTTGCGTTTGGGGTGATTACAAAAATAAGTTAATTTATCCCATTAGTTCAATCTTGAGCCCAGTTTAAAATGTGATCCTTATGTGTTCGCCTTCCCAGTTAACTAACATAGGCTTAGCATTTTGGCTGTACAACTGCATTTAACAAACAAGTGATTAACGTTAACGTTAGTGATTTTCTTGTCGAGCACTAACGGTCACGTTAAACTTCACACCAAGTTAACATGAGAAAGCTATCTCTGTAATGTTCAAAAACCGCGGAATTGATCTGAGCTCAAAACAGAGGCGATTTTTATGAAAATGGGTACTAAAACTTTGGAATTCTACTTACTTTTAAATCCAGCAGTAGCACAACGATCTCTTCCAAATCCAAATGCAGACCGCGATCGCGATGGCCGCGTAGAACAGTAATGGCTGACAAACGAAACTTAGGGAGCAGAAGATTTTGGGGAGGAGTCACAGTTACTCTATAATTTTGCTCCCACTCTATGGACACATTTTACTCTGTTCACTCAAAATAGATAAAAAACAACTCTTTTTGAGGAAAAAAATAATTACTCTGGAAAAACTACTCTGCTATTTTTCCTGTGTACTGTGCTTTGGGTATATCTGTAGCGAATGCAACATTTAATAATATACATAAAATGTATTTAAGGGGCCGAAGGCCAATTTAGCTCAAAGGGAAATGATTCATTGATTTGCAATGAATCTATGGAACCGAATCACTGAACCGAGCAAATGACTCGCTTAGAATTCATTTGAACGGGCCGTAATTATAACCAAATCTATAGTGAAACACTATGTCTTAGCAAGGTAAGTTTAGATCGAACAGTACAAGACATTAAATGTGCAAACACGACACAAGAATATTTATCTTTTCAAATATATGGAAGACTTTATTAGCTATTCTAAACACAACTAAGGTCTAACACAACTAAACATAATCACGCACACACACATTCATACAGTCGCGAAAGGGAAAGAGTGAGTTGGAAAGAGTGAGAGAAAGTTTCAACTTTCTATATGCACGTAAGACATAACCTGAAGGGACCACCAAGCATTAATTTGAACCTTCATTTCTTAGAGAGGTTATTCAATTAACATTAAAGCACCAGTTCAGTTAGAGCCTGGAGTACTTGCGCTTTGTAGTGGCTGAGGGAATTCCCTTTGTCTGCGTCGCGTCGAAGGGGGGTTTCCCGGCCGGGTCCGTTGAGTGGTTTGTTGTCTTTGAAGTGCAGGGATGAAAGTTTCGCCGCTGGTCACGTGTGATTAGCAAGCGAATGAGAGCGTTGCAAACTTAACTTTGAAACGAGACTTTTACGAAAAAGGAAATAAAGGAAAGAAATGAAAGTAAGACGAGTCGGATGGCTTGACTGAGCTGAATTGTAACCCTGATCTTGATGGGTTATTCGTCTGCGGGTCGAATTTGGTCTAGTCGATGTAGAAGCATGCGAACATGTTCTTTGTTTCAGAGATAAGCACGAACAGAACACTCTCTTGCTGGTTTTAGAGAGAGAGGCACAAACTTAACAGTTACAAACACTAACAAAAATCACAAAAATCTGCAAAAATCTGAACATGAGGTCCTTTGTTCGGATCTTTAACTTAAACTCTAGTCCAACCTCCAAGAAACTTCAGGCCAATGGGTAATGGCATGATCTCAGGAGGTGGATCTACTTCTTGCTTTATCATAATTTATGCATGGTCTGTGAGCTGGTCTCCAGCACTTAGCAGAGACAAAAGACCATCGTTTTAACCTTATGATAATTATAATCATAAAACAAAACCTTTCACGCAGATTTCAATCAAGCCATCTTTTGAATTACGAGAATACGGTTCGTTTAAGAGCAAACGAGGCATTCACACTTCTAATGGTTGTATAACAATTACAAGAGTTAATAGTTAACAACAATTACATGGTTATTATGTGATCTAAGCATAATAACACATGAAGTGTAGGAACAACAACAATTATGATTGGTTATAGGTCCAAGAATTGTTCTGTGGTGAGTTTATATGATTTTATGTGTGAGATCTCCAATCTCAACCGCAAGGTTACTGCGAGTTCAACTCGTAAGGGGGACAAGGAGATGTGTTCTGTGGAACATCTCTGTCAGGGGATCAAAGGAGTCTTGGTTGTGAGCCTCTCGTTCCACCATTTTGGAGCCGATTTGTCTTACTAACATTAACATATTGACACGTTTCTTCCTGTGGCATTCTGTTGCTATCTGCAGGACCATAAAAGTCTTCGGAGGGGGGGGGGGGGGGGGGGGGGGTTATTGTCCCCCAAAGCAAACCCTTGGCGCCGTTCTGTGACTCTGGAATGTGGGCTCCAGAACTTGGAGTGTTGAAGCCATGTGAATTAATCCCATGAGAGATTAATTTGATTAAGTTGTGTTTGATTCGCCTCGATTCTCTACATATCAAATGGGTAAAGTTAGCCTAGTTGTTTTTTCCTGAGGGAAAAGTTTCCTAACTAATGTTACTAACTACACGCAAACCTTATTCTAGATTACTTTTCTCGGTTTGACCAAATTGTTTGCTTGTCTTTTAATTTTTTAACCAAATTATTTTAGAATTGTATTATTTTTCAGTGAAACTTAAATTAAGCATTTTTTCCTCAAGGGACTGCTGAGGAAACTCGGGCCTTGATTGAGTGGCGGGCGGCCAACGAAAGTCTCTTTACTGGGGGACGCAATTCCTCCAAAAGTGGATGGGAGTGAGTATTGATTTTGAGTGCTTGTATAATTCCCTGTATGTCTGAAGGTTTGGAGCTAGATTTGGACACTCTTCATCCATGCAAATGAATACATTATTGAATGGCCATAACTGCCAAACAGGCCAAGAAAAAA